ATTATAATTTCCAATGCTACATTTATGAATTTCTACATTTTGCTAATACGTTGATTATAACACAAAATTTTGTTATAAAGTGCGACACGATTTTTCATAGCAATTGAAAAATTATGATCTCCAAACCTAAAAATAACGGCAGATCCTGAGGTATGAATATCGCGTCTATATTCACACTTCTCTCTTTTCTACTCCCTCCAGAGTTTCTTCCCTTTTACTTACATTTCTTATGCCAATAAGAATTCTCATGCCAATAATATTTCTTATACCGCTAACAAAGTAACTTACGTCGGCTCGTATAAACGTCGCACAATAGAAAGTTATGAAAGCGTGGTTAATGCGTATTCAGTGTCGAGAAGAGGAACGAAGCGGTTTTAGATAGAACTTTAGAAAGATGCGTGTCTGGTTTTCTACTCGCACCAGGCGAATGGCGTGTGACTGCAACCCGAGCCGAGAAATTACGCGAAAGGCCCGATTGTAGGGCTCGTGAGAATTACGATTTCTTGGCTGGCTGAAGAATTCTCACGGTTATACGCGCATCACCCGCGTGAGGGAGACACTTAACGTATATGCGCGATGATCGTATAATGCGCGAGTCATCGACCCTCTTAAGACGTCCATGCCTATCGTGAAACTTTATTGCGAAATCTGCTTGACCTACCGATCCGTGTCAACGCGGTGGCCAATGCTGAAACGGGACCAATGAAATTAATGGGACACTTTTCATTCTATTTTTGGAACTAGGCCATTTCAAGCGGCTTGTCTTATGAAAATTATTCAAGCAGTGTATATTATTTTGCGTAAATTTGTTTGCGCGAATTAACTGTTTATTATTGCATTAACGATATATATGCGTACATTGAAATCTTCTTTAATCCCGTTTCTAATATAAGTAGTAATTTACTGCTTTAGTAATTTTACAATTAAAGAGTGAAGCTAGGTAAAGGAGTAAAGTTACTACTAATGCTAATTTTGTACGATGTTTAAATATAATAGGTGATTCAAAAGATTAGCAAAAGAAAATAATGCTAATGAATAGGAAAAATTTAATAATAATTATTACATTACGGATGTTAAAGTTTTCCAAATAATTATTAAAAGTTGATTTTATTTTTGGATTTAACTTCATGTATCTATATCTTTATTCTTCTTCTATGTATGCACAGAGTGTGCATTTTATTTGAGACCTTGCTAATATTTTAAATAAATGTAGTAATTTTCAAAACGAGTTGTGCTTCATTATTGAGATATAAATATTCAAATTTGACGTGTCATTGTCTTTTCTAAAACTATCATAACTATGTCAATATTTTACCTTTATAGTCTTGATAATATGTCTTGGTAATAGTTTAATATTAGCTTATTTTATGTAAATGTATTTTATGTATCTCTGTATTTTATACGTCATGTATATACGTCATGTATACACTTCATTCAAAATTGGGACATATTTAAAAATTGTAAAGTATAGAGGGATAAATAAATAATAATAAAATAAAATCGTTTATTTTCAAATAAAATCTCTTTATATGAAAATGACTTTTATTTTGTGATATGTTTTATAGGTTATTCATAATAATTATAGAATAATTGTGTACTTTTTTAAATTGCATTTTATATTTTAGTTTAAACATGAGCAATTTGTATTTTAAAGTGTCGAAATACTTATTTAAGTATAATATATCACTGTTATATTTAGTAACTGACCGTAACACGAAGCCAAACAAATTTGTATCTTCTTTACATAATTAATCGGTTTATATTATAATTATAGCAATCTATTCCACTCTTATTCACTCTATTTACTTGATTCAATGTAAACTGAGCGTCTAATGAAAAACGATGAAAGTTACTTCATTATAATTCTTTACAGCAGTAATTTGTATCAGTAATACGTAACAGTAGCACTAGTACACTACTGTTATCATTAACAGTATGACTATCACTACTGTTATGTTAATAATTCTTTTTATTCTTCAATCCAGTAGCTTTTTTTGAAATTTGCTAAAGTACATGAATTTGGAATATAACTTTCAAATTGAAATAGCTCAATATATAAATTAGTTATGAGAGAAAATATACATATATATGCATATATTGTACAGGGTGTTAGAAAATTCACGCAAGATTTGAATCTTGCGCCATTTGTGAGCCAGTGTTACCAACGAAAAAAAAAAAAAAAAAAATACAGCGTGACAGCTGACAGTTCAGGGTTATTAAAAATGGAGCGTTATATGAAAGAATAACGCGTCTTCATTGTTGAGCAATATTTACAGTTTTTTGTTAAAAACCTGTGCCTTCTATCAAAATTACTTCTTGCGTGAATTTTGGGACACCCAATATAACTACTACATGTTTATATATAACCTCAATAAACTAAAAAAATTTGTTTAATGTTGCTAGATTGCTAAATTAGGTAGAAAATTTTTGACAATTTTTTTAACAGTTATATTACATTATTGTTGAGACTGTATACACAAAGTAATTTAAAGTTGATTAAAGATAATAGTGATTATATAATTATATAATTTTATAATAATATATAATTTTTATTGTTATGATTTCTTTCATTGATTAATTAATTTACTAATAATAATTAGGTAATGTCGATTAATAACAATCATTTGAGAATTATATAATTTAAATGCCATAAAATGAAAGGTGAATTAATAATGAAAGATTAATATCATTATTAAATATAATACAATACAAATATAATAAACTAGTAATAATAAATAATACTAACAAAAGTATAAAATAAATGTATTATTAAATATAGTATTAAACATTAAATATGTAGATGTAACAAAATTAATATCATAGAATAATAATAGTAGTAGTAGTAAGTAGCATAAAATTTAAATTTTATTCACTGTTGAACTGAAATAGAGGAAAATGACATAAAACTAAGGCGAATACACTAGAAAATTTCCTAACTAATTTCATAACTGTAAAATCTTCGATATCTTAATATAATTACACAAATGAAATCAAATCACGTTCAAATACAATTAAAATTCCCAAATAAGAAACTATCTCAATAAATATTCCAAGCATCATACATCCATCTAAATCAAAACCCTCCCGGATAAGCTAACTCGCCTAACCTAACTAATTAAAATAATCTATCTCTACCCATAACCAATAAATCATTGATAAAAGCCAATCTCTCATAAAATTTGTTTCACTATTTCAAACAACTCGACTGCGAAATTAATTTCACGCTTTCATGAAACATCTTATATCTCGACATCACTGGTTCACCTGGATCGTTGGTCTAACGACGAAACGAGCTGTCGTTGATTCACGACTAATTCAACCATAACCTGTCATAATTACTGCCGTGTTTCACAAAGCGTAATTGATACGTCATTCACTATAACGTAAACGCTTATACGCCTGACGACGTTTCGAATTGTAGATATAACCGATAGGATGGAAAGTGTTATGGATGCTCGCGATACCTTAAGGCGCCCCTCCAACTATTGGCGAACAAAGAATGTCGGGTTATTACCGGCAGAGGCCAGTGCCTTGTGACGGCGGCGTGGTGCACGACGAAACTTCCTACTCGGATCGTGCTGGCGCAACGTAGTTAATTGAAGCAATTAAAAGCAGCCTTAGTTCGCCACGGGTCGTCTTCGCGTTCGTTAATCATCGGAGATCGTGGGTGTGCTCGAGAAGAAGGAGCATCATGAGCATGAGGGGAACGTGTAATCATTGTCAGGGATGGAAGCTTCTACTGGCAAGGGAGACCCGGAAGGCGACCTAGGAGAGATACTAGATACGCCAATTCTTAATCTAAGATTAGTATAAAGGACGAGAAGACTGAGAGGAGCTATTAGTTTCTGGTCATTCTTATCGAATGGATCATTATTGCCAATAATAGCAGGGAAATGGTTATAATCACGAGTTCTTAGATTGATTTCTTGGTTAGAAATTGCTGATCTTGTTTGTGTGGTAGATCGTCAATCAGGAGGGATAGATATTTCAACTCATATTTTGCTGCTCGAACTGTAATTTCAATCCATTGAAATTATTGTACTGGTTTTACAATATCAAATGATAATTCTTGTCAATTGAAAGGAAGAGATACTTCAATTGATTTTTAATATTGTGACCATAACCTCAATCTTCTTGCACTTTTATGCTAGTTTTATAATGTGAGATGATAATTCTGAATACATATATATTTGTCAGAAAGAATGTATACTTAAATTGATGTTTATCGTTATAGCAATAATTTCATTGCTTATGAACTTTTATGCTAGTTTCAGAATATAAAATGGTCATTCTTAATATAAACACTTTGTCGATTAAGAGATATAGATACCTCAATTGATGCGTACTATTAACTATAATTCTTATCTCTTTATATTTTTGTGTTAGTTTTATCCTATGAAATGATAATTCTATATATAACCTTTGTCAATTAGATGAGATAGCTGCTGTAATTAGTATTTACTATTCTAACTGTAATTTTAATCATTTTGAATGTTTAAGTTAGTTTTGCAATCTTGAATAGTAATTCTAAATATAAACTTTCTTAATTAGATAGGTTGGATACTTGAATTAGTATTTACTATTGTAACTGTAACTTCTGTCTGTTTGAATGCTTATGTTAATCTTCTAATATAAAATGGTAATGACATATAAAGTTTATCAATTAAATTAAGATAGCGTTTCAAATAATATTTACTATTGTAACCGTAGCTTCAATCTTTTTGAATTTTTATGCTAGTTTTCTAATATGAAATGATAATTCTAAACACATTGCACTGTATGAGTTATGTTATACCTTTCTTATCTCAAGTTACAACTTTTGTTCCAAACTCCAGTCAAAAACAGAACATTTCATATAAGTCCAAATTATGCTTTTATGTTTATGAAATTAAGTAAAAAGTTCTAAACAGAATTTCACATACGCAATTAAAAATATACAAATGTTAACATTACATGCTATCATTTGTGTATAATTATTTTACAAAATTGATTTAACTCACCAAAGAAACTGATCTTTGCTGAAGTTTTAGTCCTAGATCTTCTTTGCCGTCACCACAGTCGGTTGTATAGAATAGAACACTCTTCTTCGATCCCCTGAAATCAAAGCTGTTTAATGTACCGTGTATATGACGATTGAGACAGTTGAATCTCTTCTCTGCGCAATCGAACGTATTGTAATTGCATGTCAAAGGGTCGTAATTTCTTAGACCATGATATAAAATATTTTATTGCTTATACATTATTCAAGTATTCCATCGTATTTTAACAAAATTTATTGTTTTTACATATCTTCACCTTTCTATATATCCATTATATATTATACAGAGCATTTCATACAACTGGACCCAACTACAGGTCTGACGTGAAAAGTAGAACAAAATTTCATAACGCAGGTACGAATTCATGTCGGATATGATATTTCGAAAATTTCAAGGTTATCTTTACATTTATAAATGAAATATACATATTTTTTTTGTACATTTACAGACGTATATATACAGGGTGTCCCAGCAACGGTACAACCGGGAAGAAGATGATTGTACATGCAGAAACGAATAAAAAAAGAAGGAATAACATTTTTTTATTCGAAGCTTCGTTTTCGAGAAAATCCACTTTGAATATTCGCCGAGTACACTGATATACTGATGGTCCATCCGCCATAGCCAAAGTTAAGTGCGCGCGTACTCGGTGGGTATTCAAAGCCGATTTTCTTGACAACGAAGCTTCGAATAAAAAAATTTTATTCCTTATTTTCGATTTGTTTTTTCACGTAGAATCACCCTCCCCTTGGTTGTACCACCGATGTTGATGTATTGATGGTCCATACATCTAAGCCATAGCTAAGTGCACGTGTATTCGGCGAATATTCAAAGCCGATTTTCTCGACAATGAAGCTTCAAATGAAAAAATTTTATTCTTTATTTTTGATTTGTTTTTTCATATAGAATCACTTCCTTCTCGGTTATACCACCAATGCCGATGTATTAATTATCTATCCACCTAAAACAAAGTTAAGTGCATATCTTCTCGGCGAATATTCAAAGTCGATTGTCTCAAAAATAAAGCTTCGAATCAAAAAATTTTATTCTTTCTTTTGTTATTCGTTTCTGCATATAGAATTACCTCCTTCCTGGTTGAACTATCGTTGCTGGGACAGTCTGTATGTTTATATAATATATATAAAAGAGGTGAAATTTGTAAATAATTCTCAGAGGAAACACATATATATAATTTAATAACATCTGTTTTTGCTTAATCAAGTCTTTTCTATTTTCCACTGCTTCAGAATTTTGGTTGGGTCCAGTTACGTGAAACACCCTATACGTTCGTTATATTCCGTATTATACAGGGTCAACTTGCTATTACTGTTCCAAGTCATAATTCCATTAGCAGAACAATCACAGAAAAATGTAGAAGGAAAAAAAGTGAATGACGTAAAGAATATTATATCTGTAGGACTATGTTTTCTTTACAAGTCTAATGGTATTAGACAGTACATGTGCAATTAACTATTGAGTTACTTTTTTGATCGAATTATTTCAATAACATTTTAGGTATCTCGTAAATTAATAATTCTTTTTACTACTTTATTGCAGTGCTTTTATACACAGTATGGTGAGAAGAAAGAAAGGTATGTAAAAAGAAATATATATTTCTGTTAGTGGAAATAATGCAATTGTGCATAGATCATTGTATTTGTAATAATCCTACAGAGGCATCGATATTTGAATCATTCTCCTTTGGTATTTTTCTGTGACTGTACTGGTAACACAGTTATGATCTGAAGCAATTGCATGACTGTATATACAATAATATTTCTATATATAACGATATGTATTATATTTATATAGGATGAACTGATAACTTTAATCATCTTGAATATTTCTTTTATTTCAGGTGTCGTGAATAAATTTTTCATAGATGAGTTATATACTATGGAGAGGCCTGTAAAATGCAATTAACTTTTTTTATAAATCATATTATTAGTCATATTGTAATAGTTAGTATAAATTTATTTTAAAAATTATTTCAAATATTTTATTTTTAATGAGATCAGGGATCACATTTCAGAGCAACAAATAATACCAGTACAATTGCTAACACAAATTTAATAATTACGTACAGTGTATGCAAAAATAATATATTATATTACGAATTTTGCAGATAATTGTATACTATTGCAATGATAAAAATGTTATATAAGAATATCATTTAACCATTTTTATAAATTTATTAATTTTTTCTGTTAATCAAATTTATAATATAATATTCGAAATTAAAGCTAACGATTTTTGTCACTTAGTATGTTTTTAATATTATGTTTAGACAAAACACTACTGTTGAATTTTTATGATAATTAGATTTGCTAATTTCTAAATGATGCATTACTCATTGTTACCTGTTTTGCTTTCAATTTCTTCTTCTAACAATAAGTTACGAAGATTAACCTGGGTTTATAGTTCTAAACACAATTAGAAGCAACTACCATTGTTATGTAAATAGTCTTCTAATTTGATTTTTATATTTTTACGGATTTTCTCACAAAGATTTGGTTCTAATTCTAGTTTAAAATTGCTGAATGCGATACTTTAATTGTTAGACGAAATTAAACCCTTGACACGAATTGAAAATAGTTCTTTTTACTGCTGCCCTAATGAAAGATGTCAAGAATTTCATTTATGTGGGAATAATAGTCGAGCGAACGAAGAATGTTCAACTGTAGGATAGAAGTGCGAACAAAGGATATTTCGAGGGCTGAGAATTATAACAGTGTAAGTCATTCTCATAGTATTTATCCTGAAGAAATGCTTCCAGTTTATTATTATCAGAAATCTTTGCACAGACATCAGCACATGCACATATACAGGGTGTTCTAGCAATGGTAATACAACCGGAAAAGGGGTGATTCTACACGCAGAGACGAACTGAAAAGAAGCAATAAAATTTTTTTATTCGAAGCATTGTTTTCGAGAAAATCAACTTTGAATATTCACCGAGAAGATATGCACTTAACTTTGTTTTAGGTGGATAGATCATCAATACATCGACATCGGTGGTATAACCGAGTACGGGGCGATTCTACACGAAAAAACAAATAAAAAATAAAGAATAAAATTTTTTCATTTGAAGCTTCGTTGTCGAGAAAATCGACTTTGAATATCTATTGTATACCCTGATATACTGATGCTCCATCCGCCATTGCTAAAGTGAAGTGCACGCACACTCGGTGACTATTCAAAGTCAATTATCTCGACACCGAAGCTTCAAATGAAAAAATGTTATTTTTCATTTTCGATTTGTTTTTTCACGTTGAATCAATCCCTCTTTAATTGTACTCCGATACTCATGTATCGTATATAAGCTATAGCTAAGTGCATGCGCAGTTGGTGAATATTCAAAGTTGATTTTCTTTGAAACGAAGCCTGGAATCAAAAAATTTTATTCTTTTCTTCGATTCGTTTCTGCATGGAGTATCACTCCTCGGTTGTACTACCATTGTTGGAACATCCTGTATATACATATATTTATACGTATGTATACAGGGTGAGTCATGACAAGCAAGACTAAATATTTCCATTATTAACGTTACATCAAAACGTTACATGAAAATAAAGTTTTACGATTACGAGGATATGTGTACAGTGATAGGAATAAAAATTCTTTCAAGGTAATTTTTTTACGTGTACTTTGAAGAATACGCTTTGAAAAATTTGATGTACCTCAAATAAATGCTCCTCTTTAACCGTTTAAATAAAATAAAAAAAATATCAGGTTAGTGTCTCCAATAATTGTGAATAAAATAGTTTATGTGTCTCATTTTGTATAATAATAATAATAAATACTAATATATTCATATTAATAAAATAATTATATAATAATATAGTAACGTTATTAAAGCAAAACTTTTCAAATAAAAAATATTTAATTTTCCGTGTTCCGTCATCCTCTGTCATTCTATGGTAAGAATTTCCTGCTGTGAAATCCCGTTTAAAAATAAAAAAATTGTTAAGACTTCAATCGTTGATTTCACATCTTCAAAGTTATTTTCTGCCGACGAAAAGATTACTTCGTGTTTAACTAGTTATACTTCACGTACATGCATACTTTCATTAAAATCAGAATTTGTAGGTTAGAAAACCCCCTTAAAATATAGCACTCGAATATTTTTATGAGTCACTGCATCTGTGTTACTTCATATTTAATTACGTAAAAACACTGGAACTTACGTTGTATTACGTGCTACGATACGATTAATACCAAACGTAAAAATATATTAACACGTTGACTGTCATGGTGGTCATCAGTGACCGGCATTTTTCTCCTCAGTGGCGCCATGGTAGTCACCAGTGTGCAACGATACTAATTTTTTAAATTCATATTTATTTTATTCTAACCAGTTTTTGAAAATTTGAACAACGTAAATAAATAGAGAACTTTGAACAGAAGACGTTAATAATTTGCACCATTTTGTTTTTGCCATAATATTGTTTGATAATTCATAATTATATCGTAAGAATAATGTAAATTTTATCGTGGTCCCTCGAACGTGTTGAGAAAACTTAAATATCCATCATAAAGATTAAAAATACTGCAAAATTTCATTCACCTGAATTTATCACGAAACAATCAGTTCATATGTATAACTGAAGTTCAAATGCATTACATTCCGATAATCCAGCAGCGAATAATGTAGAGCAATCGATAGTTCGACAACTATAGTCTCGATTATGTTCATCATTCGATAACCATCGTGAAGTGCGAAGTATACTTCGCTCGAATAAAGAAGTTTTCATCCAGTAGGTCACGCAGAGATATAAAATTTACACCGTTGACGAATAAATAACATTACAATATTAATCGCAATTCATTTTTCCATTATTTTTGTCGTTATACAAATAATTCGATAATCCGACGCTGTCGAAGTCTCGAACATACTGAATTATAGGAATTCCATTGTAACAGAAGTCCACTGTTTGTGCCTGCCACCTATGATCTTCCGTGCAAATTATAATAGTTCACGTTTAGATAAGTAGATTCAATCGGTAGGATATCATTTAATTGAACAGTAACCAAAATTTTGTTTATCACTAGATAAACAAGTTATTTATCACTAGAACTACTAACCTGTAATGAGTACTTAAATATATTATACAGGAATGATAACGTACATAAATGTCAGAAATTAAATTACATATCACCGTATTTCCACTGGCACATATAACATCTTTTCATACAAAACAAATTTTTTTTAAATTTTTGGTGTTTGTAACTTTCCATAGGAATGTTTCAATTGTAGTAACATGGTGAAGACAAATACATATACAGGGTGTCCCAAAAAACATAAACACACTTTAATACCTTATTCTTTCTAATTTATACTAATTTATTACAATATAAATATAATTTATTTATAATTACGCAAAGTGTGTATACATTTCTTGGAACATCCTGTATATATGAATAAAATTCGACATTAATCTCGTTAAAATTACATTTGTATGTTTTAAATAATTGGAAACATAAAATATTTAGAACAAGCCACTTTGATTCCTTTGGTAAGCCTAGTATTAAATACATAAAGTTATACTTTGATAAGAAAACAACAAAAAGAAGTAACAGAATTATTTATCGAAATAATTTCTAACTATCGATCAGTTGATAAGGAAAACTTTTAATCTCAAGAGGAAGAAAATAAACACGAAGAGTCACTTATAACCTATCGAAAGTATTTAATCCTACTTTCATTGAAATATCTTCATTTGCTCGTTAAATTAGTCCGTATATTTATTTACAACCTTCATTTATTCTTTATATTTGTAAACTCTCAGCATCATGGAATATCACCATGGAATCGTTTAAAAATCGAAACGACATCTGTGTGGAATACAAGGAATTGCAAATATCTCATACTTGTTAGCCATGTAGGTAAACAAGTATCGTCGATAGTATTATTCGTAATAAAAAGCGTGCCTGATCATACTTGTCAACCATAGTATAACGAGAATTTCCTTTAATAAATTAAACCTAACCTCTCGTGCTCCGTTGGTTAGGAGTGTTGCTACTTTTATCCGCACATGTCATATTTTCTAAGGAAGCTGAGTTACTTGGCAGTTTATTTAGCATCGAACGAAAATTTCGTCGAACGACGTGGTCATTTCATTCGAGTGTTTGCGCACGTTGCATTCTATGGGGTCGTAAGCCTTCTTTCCGAGCATGCGCGGGATTCCTGTTCAGCGAGCAATACCATCGTCTGAGTAAACTTATCAACAGATAATGGCGCATGCGAAAGCAATCACTTGTTCTCGTTTACTCCACTGCACGCGAGGTTGACCTAACCTTTGATGTCCGGCAAGGTAATGTATCAGTCCTTGATCTCCAAACCGTTGATCGAAACGCGTTGGATGTAATGGTCTTCCATTATTTGCTATGGATATTTCATTACCTGCAGAATAATTTCCGACTACTTTGTCAATAAACGAAGCACTCGATGCGCATTTTAAAGGTTAGACCATGGTGAATGGAACAATTCGTCTTTAAGCATCGTGGATAAATTGATCGATTACCACTTTCTTTTACCTATATACTTTATGCATCTAATTTAGAATTGTATAATATCGTTATCTCACTTAGAATTATGAAAAAATATATATCGTGTTTTATATTATAATTGAAAGTCGATTAATTATAAGCATACTTAAATTCGCCTAATCTATTAGTAAAAAAAATTAGTGTTTGTATAATCTGTTATGGTATACATATTTATAGAGTTTTATATAAATTAAAAAATTTGAAAGAGAAAAAAGAATTTTCATTCTTATTGGTTTTCTGTATAACTCACTAGCGCCACCACGGTTCGTAACTACAATAAATATATTGTAGATATCGTACATATCGTTGAATTATTTTCTAATTTTATTGATATAATCTTGGAATTATCTCTTTACTACTTGTATCATATTGTTTTTGAATACTCTTGTGTGTGAGTGTACATATAAATTATCGATAGGTTTAATGTCAAGGTTAAGACTCACGATGAGATGGCGCTGTGGCAGAATCCGTACGCACCGTCAGTTTCATATTGCGATCCGATACGGTAACACTCTTCGACATAAAATCTGAACTGCATGATCGAGTTACGTGGCACTTAAACGGTTAGCATAATTTTGTGAACTTTAATACCAGCGAGGGCACGAAATTGGGTCATAAATGAAGAATTATACCAACAAATTGTTTCAACATAGATATTACAAAGTAACGAATATTTAACGCAATAAACAGACTGTTATAGCTGAGAAAAATATTAGAATAATACAGGTACTTTGAAAAATATATGACAACTATTTTAAACATTCAATGATCTTAGCAAAATTTTTGGTTAGGTCAAATCAGATGCTCGCGTACACTTACTGGCAAAAGATGAGAAACAAAATCATCATTTACAAATTTTTGTATATTTTTTATTTTTCAAGATACATATTTTAAAATGTAAAATAGGAAAAAGAAATAATATCCTATACCTCAGAGCTTTTTAATCCTTTAATAAATGTTCCAAGATTATAGCAGTAAAATTAGAAAATAATTCAACGTCATACACAACATTTACATAACATTTATTGGAGATATGGGCCGTGGTGGCGCTAGTGAGTTAAATGGAAAATTGTCTTAAGGTTGTCTTAATTAGAATGTTGCAGAACAGAATTGTAGAGGTTAAACTTTGGTAATAGCTCGCAAAGAATATCTTTAATCTATAATATTTATCCATTAAAATTCTCAAATATCAGGAAGTAAAAATAATTACGGAAACAATTTTAATTGAAGATATTTTAAAACGAATCAACACGTCCTGCATACCTAAGTATCAATTATTTAATAAATATTTAATCCTTTGTATGAGAATTTCCATTCTTGCATTCTCATACAAGAAGCACACGCCTTTCACAAGGATTTAAATATATTTTTGTTCTAATAACTTGTAATAACTGATAGAATTATAAAAGTATATAACAAACAATTATTTAATATTAAACTTTGCAGTATTTAAAACTGAAATTTAAACTTAAAGTTATACTGAAATATTTGAAACAGTAACGATATATACAGCAAAATGGAAGTGTCAAAATTACATTAGTGAAATCAGAAAATAATTCAACGATATGTACAGTATTTACAATACATTCATTATAAAAATTATTTAACAATATTTGAAATCAATCTACATACAATACTAATCGAAAGCACCGTTAATTAAAAAATACGAAGTTTCAATACAATATTGATTCATTTTTTATAACCTTAAGGTGATCCTGCATTGAGTACACTAGCGCCGCCATGATTCGTATTTTCAATAAGTATGCCAAAAATATTAAGCCACACAAGGTATCCTAAAAATCATGGTACAATAATGGAATAATATTTCTATATGCAAAAATGGGTCGAAAAGAAGGAATAAAATTTGTTCTCCAGTTATATACCAGTAAACAACAACCTGCACAAAACCTAACCTTATTTGTAATTAACGAGCGTATTTCAGAAGGTAAAAGATATTAAAAAATTCGTAAATCATTACTTCGTTTCTTAACTTTTGATCAATATGTGTAACGACATAGAAAAAGTGATTTAAAATCGACAGTCAGTCTGGAATTTTCTTAAATAGATTAATAGGTTAACACGTGTTTGTCGGTAGGAAAGAGTAATCATAACCAGTGCGTGAAGTTCATTGTCGTTACAGGTAGTAGCGCGAACTGTATAATTATTCGAATTGGTAATAAAGTACTATAAAAATGCAGGGGACGTTCGAAAAAAATGTGTTAAGTCGCGAAAAAAGTTGACGAATAGGGAACGGAGAATTAATCGGTCGCAATGGCCGCGATGAGCAGAGCCTTCCAGGATTCTACTCTTCAATTACGAGCGATAAATCAGTGTATAGCGTACAGGCCCACTCCACACCCTTCTTGTCGCGAGCAATTAAACGCGAACCCGTAATATAATACGATAGTATAGCCTGCGTTTATGATAATCACACCTGAGTGCCTTCCCATTCCGGTTGAATGGCTGATGTTCAGCGAGCACGGGCGAATCGATGTAGCACCGGCTCTCGTTCATAGCGACAACAGCGACAACGGCAACATTTCAACCTACGTTAATTTGCCTGCTGCGTTGACATCTGAAACGGAACAAAAACATTTCTCTTATTACTTTCTCTATCCCTATCTTGACGTATGATTTATTTTGCCGTATATTTTTCAACGATACTGTGAGTGAATTGATTATTACTTTTTGTTATTTTGAATTTCAAAATAAATTTTGTTATTTTTATTTCTTATTTATTTTTACTTTTTATTAAGAAAATTTAGAAGAATTGGTAAGCCTGTGGAATTTTTTCTTTACATTATTCAAATTAATCGTTGATTTTTCCATTTCTGTTCAAGAAATTATAAAGGAATTTGAAAATTTGTGGAATACTTTTTTATAATACTGTTTTAATTAATTATTTACTTTTTTAACCTCTGTCAAGGAATTGCAAAGTAATTGAAAAACTCATGCAACATTTGTCATAATATTATATAAATTAATTGTTAATTTTTTAATTTCTGTTAAAGGGATTATAGAACAGTTAAAAAGTTTGTGGAATATTTTTTTATAATATTATTTTAATTAACTATTTATTTTTTTACCGTCTGTCAAGGGATCGCGAAGTAATTGAAAACTTATGGAACATTTGTCACAATATTATATAAATTAAGTGTTAATTTTTTAATTTTTGTTGAAGAAATTATGGAGCAGTTGTAAAGTTGTGGAATATTTGTTTATAATACGATTCAAATTAATTATTTGCTACTTTAGTCTTTGTCAAAGAACTATGAAGTAATCGAAAAATTCATGCAAAATTTGTCATAATATTATATAAATTAATTCTTAATTTTTTAATTTCTGTTGAAGGGATTAAAGTTTGTCAAACATTTTTTTGTAATACTATTCTAATTAATTATTGGAACATTTGTCACAATATTATATAAATTAAGTGTTAATTCTTGAATTTCTGTTAACAAAATTGCAAGAAAATTTTATTTCAAGTAATTATTAATTTCTGTTAAGGAACTGTGGTAATTGATAAGCTTATGTCATATTTTTCATAATCTCATATAAATTAATTATTAATTTTTATATTTTTGGTAACGAGGCAGTAAGAAATTTGGAAAGTTTATGGAATATTTTCTTATATTATTCAAATTAACCATTAATTTTTTAATTTCTGCCGTTAAAATTGTAGAGTAGACACCTTTTTCCAAATTATTCAAATTAATTATCATAATTTTATATTAATATTCAATTTTGACGAATCCGAGAACTGTAAATATATAAATTACGAATCAGGAGTTATTAAAATACAATTCAAGTACCACGTATATTTACTTGTTCATGTTTTACACGTGATTCATATTTTCTGCACATTTATTAAAAAACTTGTAACAAGAAAAAGATGGTTCCGGCCAGAATCGAACCGGCGACCTTCTGCGTGTAAAGCAGATGTGATAACCGCTACACCACGGAACCTTGATGCCCTACGTCCTCATTTTCTACATCGTGTTGTTTTGCGAATTATTTTATGCCGTGGTAACTCTCTGATTATGGTAAACAACTTATACATACTAAGGGAGTCTTACGCTACTCCACGTCAAAAGGAAGAGCATCTTCAAGAATTTTTTTCAAGGAAATCATAAGACTTTTTAATATAAAGATTTCCTCCTCTTCTTCGTTCATGTTTGGAGAATATTCGCAATTTTTTTCGCTACAAAATTGTGAAAATTGTAAGAATTATATAATAACATGTACAGATTGGTTTAAAATTAGGGGTTTTGATGGCTGACGTGATTGCAATTGTTCTGCTTATCCAAAACGAACGATCCAAAAATATTTCTTTGGTTTATTATTAGTATTAGTAATATTCTAAGAGGCAGTCGCAAAATTTGGACGTTACAAAACATTTTTACAATTATATTTAACCCTTTGCACTCGAGAGGCGATTTAATCAGATTCTGAAGATGGATGTATTTATTACAATTTATTTATCATTGATAAAATGTGTGGATATAGAAATTAAATTGTTTAATCGTTAATTTAATTGTCCTTGATAATACAAAGCATGTAAATAATAGAAATATGAAGAATTATTGATTAATTTAAGATAATATTTTTATTTAGTGATCGATATTTGCATGAGCATATTTGCATTTTTGTCTTTGATTCCTATACAAGAGTGTTGAAAAGATAAGTTTAACCTTTTGCACTCGAGAGGCGAGCTTCAGTCGCCATTTAATCAGATTCTAAACATGGATGTTATTTAATATATCAAATTTACAATTACTCAACGATGCGTGGAATATCGAAGCAAAATAATTTTACGTCTTAATTTGCATACGATTTCTTATTTATCGTTTTAAAAATATCGTCCACTTTATGGCAGAAAGTCTTCGAATTACAATTTTTCTCTAACGAAAAAATCGTCGAGTGCAAAGAGTGAAAAATGAAAATTGACATCAAATACGAAATTGCAGGTTTGCCTAAGTATTTCTTGCAACGATTATCTTTAATTCAATTAAATAGGGGCGTCAAATTACTATGTTTCTATGTCACGCAACATCCAAGTGAAATTTATAGAGGATGTAGATAAATGTATATACTGCAAGAACTTGTTGGTCTGCTTAACTTGACGGAACTACTCAGCACACGCTTGGAAGGCTGACTTTTTTCGGTGCTTAACTTACGTTATCGAGTATTACATTTCTTTATTCTTTTTTCCCTTTCTTTTTTCAATTTTCAAGTCGATGATTCCCTCGGAAAAAAGATTGTTCTGCCTGATCGAAAGTAACCGGTTATCTGTGGTAGAAATGCACTAAAATGCAGACTGAAAAGCACGGAATGAGTAATAACAAGGAAAAGAAGCTTATTTTACTTTTTAAATAAAATTATAAGAGTGTATCTTATAAAATTACTTGATTAACTAAAATACTATAATAACGAGGCGTGACTTTTTCATGTTGAACTCGATGAAGATAAATTACTTTCGCATTAGACTAAAATTATATTTAATATATTTTAACGTGTGCAAAATTTGTATAAATCCTACAAATTTTTATAATTTTATTTTATTGTAATTATCACTTTTACTTCATATTAAAATTATTATTTTTTTATTGTAACAATGGCTAATTAAAATCAAATAATTTTGCAATGAACAGTTTCTCATAATTAAATCATACTGCAAGGTAATTAACAGCAAGCAATAAATCCTTACACTATGATTTAATTATACAAAATTGTGTATTGGAAACATATTTAATTTTAATTAGTCACTATACGTCTATCACATTCACTATAAAATTATAAAAAAATTTTTTAAATTTTAAAACACGTTAAATATAATTTTGGTCGTACGACAAATGAACCACATAATTGTGATATTTCATATGAACCATTCGCAACGAGTTAGACTAATTATCATAGTGCAATTATACATATATATATAATTTCAGTGATAAATTTCATATTTGGAATTCATATTTCACGAGCAAAGTCTAAAAGATAAAAGGAGAACAGAGTAACGAAGAATAAAATTGTTTAAACAAGATTATGATATTATTCCATATCACATTACAATTATGTACACCAATAATTATTTAATCAGTAGTCATAACCAAAAAGAATACACATGTAATTTTGATTTCTCTTTTTATATTATATCCAATAAAATTTGTTGGAATAAACTATAGCTGTGCAACAATGATATTAAGCATAAAATTATTCAAACACGATTATGATATTATTATATATCATATTACAATTATATACACCAATAATTATCTAATCAGCAGTCATAATTAAAAAGATATACACACGTAATTTTGATTTTTCTTTTTACATTATATCTAATAAAATTTGTTGGAATAAATCATAACTGTGCAACTATGATAGGCGTGCTAGGCGTTGCAGGGGAGTAGCAATTTTTGGATCCCAAGAACCTTCGCTATTATGCTGGTGTCAAGGTGTCGTGTTTGAGGTTTGGGTTTAACTTTGCGACGCAGGGTTTTAGGTAATAAAATAGACCCATGTTGCATAGAAATTTTATTGCGTTTTAAATGAAACAAAATTGGTATAGAACTAATTTTTATAAAAATTAACTTACCTTTACGATTTTTCGCATAAGACCAGTGTTGTAATGTAGCGTCCTACGGTATCGAATCTCTTCGATTTCCAAGAACGCTTATCACGCGTCAAATTAATATTGCGTGACTAGTTGTGATAATAAGGATCCAGAATGTGTGTGGTCAAAAGAGAGTGTTTATTTACAGAAAAGCGTAGAATAGTTATAACGTAGACGTTAACGGAGTACCGTTTCGAACACGCGTTTGTATGTGTAATTTAGATGTTTTAAGGATCGGTGCCGAAGACGAACTGACTTCTCGATTTTGCTCTATGTCCTGTCTCGTCGTGTTCGGTCCGGTGTTTTCTCTAGTTTAGTTCTGATTGGGTAAAATAGATGTTGGTGGTGGAAAGGTAAAGAGTTTTAATTGGACAGAGGGTGTGACATAAGGACCTTTGGCTAAGGAGTAGGAAACTGTCAAGGAGCCGATTTCTGATGGTCAATGACGTGATTTATAAGTGCCGTCCGTCCGTCGCTTGTTGGGTCTGTCACAAGTGGGTCCCATCTGTCGCGTCTGGTTTCTAGTAAAATTCCTAATTTTGCTTCACCTTTATAAGCTTAATCCGCTAGAACGGCGTTGAGGCACATCGAACCTCCGGAATTGCAGTCGCATTATAAAATATAAAATAAACCGTTAGGTCTGTTAAAAGTGTAAGCCTTAATTATAAAATCATATTCTAAATACGCTCTCCGGGACGGAACATGTAAATTAGCTACACCTATGCAATAGTGGTGATAGACCTGTTAGAGGTTGCAGGCCAATACCGACATTTGGACCTCAAGATACTATGCAGGCATCAAGGGGTTGGTTTTGGGGTTTAAAAGGGCCTGCTGTCTGATATATATACGTATTGTGACCCACAGTGGTGTGATAGAGACTCTCGTTTTTCTTTATATATTC